AATCAACCAATTTATTGATTACAATACTCAAATAATTGACCACAAACTTTTAGTCCTACCCACCACCATCGTTGTCGTCCCCACTACCACCACCATCACTCCGATGTCATTGTCGTCGTCGCCGCTGCCACCACCACCACACCACACCATACCAACACGAACACCAAATCGCACTACCGACACTGCTGCAAACCACCAACACTATCAATGTTAACAAACCACCGATCACCTGTGCACCACCAACACCATCAGTAGCACTACTCACACATGACTGCTCCTATGAAAGGCGAGCAACAGCGTGACGACAACGCTTGTACAAATCACACCAACAAAAAGATGGATGCAGAAGACAAAAAGAGAGATAGAGAGAGATTGCACCACGGAGAAACAAATCGCACCGCTTATGCGCTTGTCATCACGCGCCTGTCATCGTGCCCAATAGTTGTTGGTGCTAATATAGGGTAGGGAAGGTTGTGAGAGAAAAATGAAATAGGACAAAGGTGAACAGGGTTTTGTCGGGGGGGGTTGGGGGTAGGTGGGAATGGGTATAGAATTAAATTAATTTAATTTAATTTTATAATATTAAGAAGTTTAAATTATCTAATTTTTGAACAAAAAAAAACTTTTAAATATGATTTTTCAATTGAGAATATAAAAAACATGGTTCCATGTAATTTCCACTTTAAGCAAGCCCAATTTTCTTCGCCCCAATCATATGGATTGGAATGGCATTACAGCCCAACAGTTTAGAATATAGGATTTATTTTATTTTATTTTATTTTTTTTAAGATTTAGGGTCTTCGTGAATTTTTTTTTTTTTTTTTTTTTTTTTTGGTGTTTTTTTTTTTTTTTTTTAAATTTTTTGCTTGTGATTTTTTTTTTTTTTTTTTTGCATCTCAATTCTTTTTTATTTTATTTGGATAAGACGACATCTTCATCATTTCTCATCTTTTTAATGAGAAAATAGATGGCAGGGGCTTTTTTCACCAATTTCAAATCGGTGGAGGGTTTTTGCTCACCATGTCTAATAGGTGAGGATTTCCCTTTCTTTTTCATTTTTATTTTTCCCTATCTGTTAAGATTTAAAGGCACGACTAACGGATCTTGATGACATGGGAGTACTTCGAACAAAGGTTTTATACATAAATCTTTTCTGTGATTTTCAATAGTTAGGGGATATATCAACCACAGCCAAGTTTCTAGAGGGTTTCCTACTATTAAGCCATTTAAATAAGTTATCCTCGAGTCTCAAAAGGTATTGTGTTCTTTTTAAATATAAGAGGCCCTTTCATACCAAAATGTATAAGTTAGGCCTTTGTTCACTTTTTGTCCTTTGTCAAGGCCTTTCTCATTAATTCCCTATTCATCTCCCAATGCGATGAAAATATTTCCTGTACAGATTCAGTCTAAAAGTTGGTGTCCATAGAATCAACTGGACTACATTTGCACTTTTGGTGACACGTTAACTATAAGGATCACAAGTAATAGAAACTTTTACACAAGTTTAAATCTGATAGGTCAACTCATTGCTTCTGTCCTTGACAAAAAGAGAGTAGCTACCCCAATACCCCATGTTGTTGAGAAATAACATTTCAAATTAGAAAGAATAATGCTTTTTGCAGCCGCTCCCTGCGATAGTCACTCTACGTGACATACACATGATAGGTGGTTATTTGATGCATTAATGAATAAAAAAATTACCACATTAATGTATCAAATAATTACATGCCATGTGTATGTCACGTATAACGACTACCGCAGTGAACGACTACGAATAGTATTACTCAATTAGAAAAGTTGAGCCTTTGAACTTTTTATCTAAAACCATTTTGCAATTTCCTTTAAAATTTTAGACTATTTTAAATAATTGTTATTCATAATGGATAGTCATCAAACTTTCGCTCCAAGCGTAATTCTATCATTGGATTTCAATTGCGAACAGTTAGGTAACTGAACTTATGTAGCTCCCGTTCGGTCCCATTCTCTTTCATTTTTTTCTTCTCTCTTATTTTTAATCACACATTTTTTCATAAAATAATATTATACTAAATCGAAAATATTTTTTTCTTTTTCAATAACACATTTTTCAAAAAAATATGATTTTAATTTGAAAAGCTTAAAAATAAAATAAGATAAAAGGATTTGTTGTTGGTTCAAAAAATAAAAGATGGGAATCATATATTCCGGCTCGAAATGGATAATAGTGAACAAATTGGATAGAATTTTTTTCTTTCCTACTAGTATCTCTCAATTAACATAACATAACTCTCTCTTATTTTTAATCACACATTTTTTCATAAAATATTATTATACTAAATCGAAAATATTTTTTTCTTTTTCAATAACACATTTTTCAAAAAAATATGATTTTAATTTGAAAAGCTTAAAAATAAAATAAGATAAAAGGATTTGTTGTTGGTTCAAAAAATAAAAGATGGGAATCATATTTTCCGGCTCGAAATGGATAATAGTGAACAAATTGGATAGAATTTTTTTCTTTCCTACTAGTATCTCTCAATTAACATAACATAAAATATAAATGTTACCCAAATGGAGAGTTAATTGTTCCAATGGTCACTAAACTTAGATCCATATCTTTAATTGATCACTGAACTCTAAAATGTCGAGTTTTGATCATTGAACTTACGTCAATGTCTTCGATTGTTCACTTAACTTAGGTTCATGTTTTAGATTACTCACTGAAATTTAAAATGTTGAGTTTTGATCACTGAACTTTAGAATACACCATTCGTTACTCACTAGCATAACTGTTGAATTTTGAAAAATATCGAGTTTACAGTGAATGATGTGCAATATTTTTCAAAATTTAATGAGTAATGTACTATATTTTTCAAAGTTCAGTGAGTGATGTACAATATTTTCAAAGTTCAATAGCCAAAACTTGATCTTTTAAATTTTAGTGAGCAATCGAAGACATAGACCTAAATTTAGTGACCAACACTCGACATTTTTCAAAGATTAGTAGTCAAAACTCGACATTTTAAATTTCAGTGGCCAATAAAAAATAAGGACCTGAATTCAATAATCAAAACTCAACATTTTAAATTTCAACGGCCAATGAAAAATATAGACCTAAGGGTGTGTTTGATTACATTTATTTTTTATGAAAAATATCAATTTTCAACCCAAATTTCTACTTAGAGTGTTTGATTGCTATTTTTTTTCATGAAAAATATTTTTCAACTTTTAAAACTATGCCTTATTTTTCTTGTATTTAAGGAAAACATTTTCCTTGGATAGAGGTGGTTTTTATTTTTCACAAAAGATGAAAAACATTTTCTTTTTTAGGTGATAGTTTCCATTCCAAGGGCGTGTTTGATTACATAGTAGGAATTTGGGTGGAAAATTGATATTTATCATGAAAAATAAATGTAATCAAACACACTTATGAAAAATATCAATTTTCCATCTAAATTCCTACTTAGAGTGTTTGATTGCTATTTTTTCCATGAAAAATATTTTTCAACTTTTGAAAATATGTCTAATTTTCCTTATTTTTAAGGAAAATTTTTCCTTGAGTAGATGTGGTTTTTATTTTCCACAAAAGATAAAAAATATTTTCTTTTCTAAGTGATATTTTTTATGCCAATCAAACACACTCTAAATTCAATGGTCATTGAAACAATTAACTCCCAAATGGAAGGACAAAAGAAACCCCACAAATTTCTATTGGCCATGCAAAGGGACACAACATATGAAACAAAAAATCTTTCTCCAACAAGTTTTAAAAGGGAAATCTTTCTGGGCAGTTGGGATATCAAGTATCAACCATCAAAAATCTGTCGGTTTATTTCACTTCGCTCGATGGGTTTTCTGTAGGGTTTCACTATTCTGTCGCTCCTACTGTTAAAACTTAGTACACCCCCTCCTGATTAGATATGTTTTTTGACTTCACCGAAACGTGACGATTTTTTAGGGATTAGAGCATCTTTATCTTTATTTTTATTTTTTTGTCGCCTAAATTGCCGAACTTTTTCCTTCGTATATGTCTTCATGTTTAAGAGTAATTGGGACTATTTAGAAATTGACTTAACTAAGAAATTGATCTCTGGAGTTTTGAATTTTGGGTTCTGTATGTACGTAGAAGAAAATAAAAAGGATAAGTAGAGAAGAACGTCTTTCTGTGTCAACTAGACCAAGAGTCTGAGTCATCGAGCAGGGGATCGCTTTGAGTGGGATTGGGATGCTATTATTTAAAAGATAAAATGTGCTTGACTGTTTTTATTTATTTTGTGTTTTTTAATTTCTCCTTATGTTCTTTGTAATTGGTATATAGTAGTATGCAGACCCACCTACATGATTAGGTGTTTACTGCTTACATTTTTATATGAATTTCGGGTAGTATTTTTATGTGTTTAGGGAATAGATCAATTGGCTGGCACATGCTTCCTCATTTTGCTTTGTTCATTGGTTCCAATGTTGAATTTTTAATTATTATTATTATTATTATTATTATTATTATTTTCTTTGGCCTAATCAATGTTAGTTATGGATGATGGGGAGCGTGATTATTTTATTTATTTATTTATTTTTAACTCATAGATGATTACTTGGAAGATAGTTGATTTATGTTGTTGAGATTGTTTCTAGAGAAGGATTTGAGTTTCCATGGTTCTGTTCCTGGCAAACCCTTCAATTTTTAATATTACTGGTGTCTGACTTTTACTGGAGATTGTGTTTGTTTATCTTTGTGGAGTGATGAATGACCTGTTCATAGTTATCAGAAACTATCAGTATTGGCATATAAACATCAATCTTAATGGAGAAGGGAAGGGGGGGGTGGTTCAACCCAGCTGAAAGTTATGCAAAGTTTTGTCTTGAAGTAAATGAAAGGAATTGGCCGTGAATTTTGTGGTTCATGAACCGGTCTTATCTCTTAATTTGATTTTGAAATTTTCGGCTGACTTCCAAGCACCAAGCCAATTAGGCCTGCTGGTCTGGAGCACTCCTTTGGTGAGATGTGTTATTGTAGTTAATAAGCTATGGATGTGAGCGACAATGTAGGTGACCCTCGCACCTGTAGTTGTCTCTTCGCCTGTTCTAGATTACATTATATGTGACTTTTATAGCCACTCGGTTCCCAATTCTTACAATTTTCTGACTTTGTGCCTAGATGGTAATTTGTGTGCTTTGCGTCAGTATATGAGTTAGTTCCTTCAAAGATTAATATATAGAGAAAGTGGATGATTTTTTGTACGATGCCAGAGATTCCCATCCACTAAGTTGCATGAATAAATAATATTGTATGTTTAAATTTTGCAAGCTTGGAAATTAGGTCGAGAATGTGGCTGTGAGTGCGATAGACAAGAACTTTTGCTGGAAGTTGGTGTGTAGAGTCTTGGAAGTGTGGCAGCAGTATTGTTTCTTTAATATGATGTTAGTGCCCAAGTTGAAATGTTTATGGACCTGTCTCTTCAGTTATGTTAATGTACTTGATCATCATTCATTTTTTCGATCACTGAGCTGTGTGACTTTTTAAGGTTCTAGTATAACTCGTGCTCTTTTCTATACTGATAGGATCATTATTTAGCTTCATTTGATTTAGACCCGTCCTCATTTCCTCCTAGTTCTCCATTTTAGTAAGATTAGTGTTTTGTTCTATGCTTTCTATTTTCTTGCTATAAGCTTTTTAACATTAATTTACTTGGACCTCAGCTGAGGAGGTTGACCTCTCACAAGATGTGCAGCAATGGGAAACTTTATCTAAATCTGAAAAGCACTTTATAAGTCATGTGCTGGCATTTTTTGCTGCATCAGATGGAATTGTCTTGGAAAATTTGGCTGCTAGATTTCTCAATGATGTGCAGATTCCAGAGGTGAATATCTTGACTTCCCTCCATCTAAAGACTTATCACTGTAAGATGAGAAGGACTAGTGTTTCAGCATTTCTATTTTTCTTTCATAGTTTGATCTTTCATTCATGTTTCTGTCTGCCCTCAATTTTATAGTTTAGACATTATGTCTAACATTGACAGCGTTGGATACTTTCAAGAATCCTTATCCTTTGTGAAATTATTGTTTTGTGGTCGTTTACCTATCAATTTGAGCAATCAGTTGGAAACTTTTAACTTGATTTTCTAAGCAAACGAATCATATTCAGTTTTACGAACCTTCTTCCAAATATCTATTTGGGCTTGTAATGAGGGGAGATATAAACAGTGAGATTTTATTCCTGGACTAAACCAAGTAGTAACGGCAGCTGTTAATGTTGAAGTTAGCATAGATTGCTGTTGAAAATCTTTGTGGTTAAACTTTGAAGGACTAGAATCCAAACTGAATTAATTTTGAGCTTTTCTGTTTGTGATTTTTTTCCCTTCTTTTTGTGTTTCAATTGTTTCTTTCTTTTTATCTTTGCTTTGTGCTAAATAGATCTTTTTCTCTATTTCCTTCAATGAACTTGGATATTCAGTATGACACAAGGAGAACTGAAGAAAAATGGTGACCCATGAAGGTGCTTTACATACTTTAAAATCATTATAAAATGGCAAATGATAACCATGGAATGTGTGAGCAATATGGTATGATGGATAACCATGAAATGTGTGAGCAATATGGTATGATGGGTTGTCACACCTTGCAGTTAATCCTGTGATGAAAATTAATAGCGGTACAGTGATAATAATGTTTTGTGCTTAGCTAGAACCGTATGTCCAATTTTTGGAGAGTGCATATCAATCCTCTCCTTTTAGGGCTAATTAAAAAATCTTGCAATTACCGATGGTCGTCAAGATTTGGCCAGACAGTTAATTTATCCTTTCCAGCAACAACTATGATTTAATCCTCAAAGCGAATTTATGATTGCTAAAGTGGGAAGGTTTGACCATGAATATGTAACTGGAAGATCACCCAATTACCCCAATGTTGAGCATTTTAATCCTTCTGAAAATATGTGTCTCCATCCTTTTGCGGGCATCTTAATCGCATCCTAATATTGGACTTTTTGCAAACTTTTGCTTGATGAGAGGATGATCGGATACCTGTTTACTCATTTACTGTTATCTGTATTTGCTACCTCTTTCAAGTTGCTTGTTTTATTCACTGAAAGAATCGTTGATCAGCTTATATGTTCTTCTGAATTATATAATAATAACTTGTATTTTAAAAAAATATATATAGTCAAAATCTCTATGGAGAGGAGCTGTCATAATGTCACTTTACATTAGTTATATCTAACTGACATTAATTCTTTTATTGCCAATAGGCTCGGGCATTTTATGGATTTCAAATGGCAATGGAAAATATACATTCTGGTATGGATTTGTAAGTGTATCTTGTGATTTTGTCAACAACATGCTCGTGTTACCTGATTGTAAACATTTTCATAGAAATGTACAGCTTACTTCTGGAGACATACATCAAGGATTCAGAAGAGAAGAACAGATTGTTCAATGCAATTGAAGATATTCCTTGCGTTGCACAGAAGGCAAAGTGGGCCTTGCATTGGATTAAGAGGTACTCTTTATTACTTTTTCATCAATCATTATAATGATTTTGTTAAGAACTTACTATTGAAACTGAAAATTTATTAACATTCAGGCAATATTTACCAATTTCTGGAATGTGTATTGGATGTAGCGGACTGTACCTATGAAAATTGCACATATCATTTCGAGAGACATTGTTGAAGAAACTCATAAATATCTTCTTGTATTTAGGTCCTCATTTCGTGGACTTGTAGGTTTTTGGACTACTTGCTTGTCAATGTCTTGCTTTTCGATGCTCAAACATCCCTCTCTGATCATAGCAATTTGGATAATCTTGATTGGCATGATATAGTGAGACTGAAATATGCAGTTGTTACAGTTAATTAAACATTTGCTAATATCTATCCGCAGTTCGAGCTCATTTGCAGAGAGACTTGTTGCTTTTGCATGCGTTGAAGGAATTTTCTTTTCCGGGAGGTATAATTCCATATCTATTCAATCTAGGATGGATAATGATAAGGTATGTGTTCGTCTATTTTCTAAGGGTTCCTGACTTATTTTTCTTTACTTCTCAGCTTTTGTGCGATATTTTGGCTTAAGAAGCGGGGATTGATGCCAGGCTTGACATTCTCGAATGAACTTATTTCGAGAGACGAGGGACTTCATTGTGACTTTGCTTGCCTTCTATACAGGTTATCTTCATCATTATTGAATACCCACCCCCACCCTGATCCTTCCTCTCCAGCCCCTGCCTACTAGTGAACTCTCTCCCATTTCCTTCCTTCCCTCAAAAAGAAAAAAAAAAGTAAATAGATTAATAAAATAAAATGAAAATTGTTGCGGGCAGGTGGAAGGGGGTTTTTTTTAGGCATATGAAATTGACGAGTGATTTTTCGTTCTTCGCTTCATTTCTGCAGTACATTACGGAATCAACTGCACTGGCAAAAGGTTCAACTTATTGTACATGAAGCTGTTGAAATTGAGACCCAATTTGTTTGTGATGCCCTTCCTTGTGCATTGATTGGAATGAATTCTGAGCTAATGAGTCAGTATATCAAGTTTGTTGCTGATCACTTGCTGGTATCTCTCTTTCTATCACTGATTGGAAGGAATATTTTTGTTGAAAAATTAAGAATATCGATATATGTCTTTCAGGTTGCTTTAGGGTGCCCGAGGAAGTATAATGTTCAAAACCCCTTTGATTGGATGGAATTTATATCTTTACAGTAAGTATAAATGCTAACGATAATCATATAATTTTTCAACTATGGTGGATGCAGTTAAGGTAGTGTCATTTTCGGGTAATTTTGAATAACTTCTTGCTCGTGTTTCAATGTTGAAGCAAAGGCTTCTGTTGGTTTTCATTTTCAGTTTAGTCACGCACTTAAAATCAGTTAGTTTTTTTAATGGAACGACCAATCTGATGTACGGCAATCTAACGTGGCATCAACGTGGAGGTCTGCCACGTCAGACATTCCGTTAGAAAAATTAACTGAAACAAAAGGCAAGCTTAAGGATTATGCTTGGTGTGTGGCCTAATGTGAGGAATGATCTGATTGTTTGCCAACACAGTCGATAAATTGTTAATTTCGTTCATGTTCAGACCCATGGACTCGGCTAACTCTAGCTGGAGTGACAGTCCTAGTGGCCTGAGCTTTTTGAATGAACTCTTATAACCCACAAATGTGATTTATAGTCATATGGTTTTAACTTATTGATTCATTGTTTAATTGAGCAGAGGGAAATCTAACTTCTTCGAGAGAAGGGTCGGGGATTATCAGAAGGCTTCTGTTATGACAAGCTTGCGAGTCGATTCAAAGAATTATGAGTTCAAATTGGACGATGACTTCTAGTCACTTTGATTGTTTTGCTTCCTATTAATATCAACTCGATGTGGAAATTATCATATCATTCTATTGTAAAATTTCGATTATTTTTGGAAAATTGTTAAGCTGTGTACTCTGTTATTGTCCTGTTCCTTGATTTGCTCAACATTTATTGTATCATCTTATATCAATAACGTATATAACTAAGATTTTGAAAGTCACATGAACTAGAAAGTTGAATGTCACATGACTAAACAAACAGAGCAATGCTATGAGTATAGATTTTTTTTAAGGAATTGGTACAGGAAGACAGTTGTCTTCGTGTAAAAGGCTATTACAAAACATAATTTTTGGCAACAGTAAATCACAAGAAGACTGTTGTCTTTCTGTATCAATTTTGTTAAAAAAAATTTGTACTTGTAGTAGTTTTTTATGCAATAGCAAATAACAGGAAGATTGTTGATTTTTTTGTATTAATTCTGTTTAAAATTCTGTACTTGTGGAGTTTTCCAAACAAAATGGAGATCAAGCTTGGGCCTTTGATTAGTGGGTATGGTGAGTGCAGGATATATTGGTAAGGAAAAATTCCAACCTGGGAACCTTGTATAAGGGGGTCATGGACCTTCTTTTTGTCACGCCTCAAGTCTCAACATATGAAAACAGTGTGTGCATGTTCTAGTGGACAGAAAATCGTTAAGATGTCAAATTTTGTTTAAAAGACCTTTATACCCTTAGGCCTGTAAAAAGTATATAGGAAGAGAATACAACCCGAAGAGTAAACACACCACATCATTTAGTCTTCTTGTGTGACTCCAACTGGTTAAAATAGACCTTCGTCTTAAAAAATTTATACATGACTCGATTACAACTGTATCAAACTCTATTGGTAGGTATAATACAACTACGATCAAACTGTATAAGGTAACATTGTAGAAGTTGATTCCCTATCTTTGCTCATAATAATATTTCTTGCTAGCTTGAGTATTGGAGTGTTTTGAAGAATCTTCTACATACATTATTTTTGATTGCATCTTTAAATTCATTGTTACTTCCACTAGAACTTTGCTCTTTGTACACTAATTTTTGACACTATAGTTGACATTTATATTGTTGTCAAGTGTCAATTGGATAGAAAAATTGTTTGAAATTTAAACTATCCAATAGGATAATATCGCATTGCAAAGTATAAATTAAATTGGACACCATAATATAAATGTAACAAGGTTCCTACTACTAAATGATTTAAAACAATTAAACTTCAGGATGTTATACACTGTTTTAGTTTAAATTTGCTCCTACATTTTCTACTTTGTCTTCATAAGAAGTGTTTACAATAATTGTTAAATGTTGATGATGATGACGATGATGATGACGATAATTATTATTATACTAATATAATAGTGGTAAGATGTCAATTCCAATTCTTAGGGCCAATCAATTTTGCAATATCATTGGTTGGTTAGTCTCACCACCATCTTTTCATGGGGGCAGCTATTCATGTTCCTTGGGCTAACCAAACATATGAAAAATGTTTATCGTACATTACCATTTATATAATTTTTTTTACAGATTGATGATATATAAAAAAAGAAAGTTAGAATTCTATTTTATTTATTTATTTATTATTTTTTAATGAGATTTTGACCCAACAAAATTTTGTCACATCATCTATTAATAAATAAATCTGTAAGTTGTGATGTATATGTAGCACAACCGTAAAGCGTATAATCCAATTTAGTTTCTTTTATATATATAATAAAAAAAAATTTAATTACATACATTGATATGTGCAATGCATACATTATTATGTTATATTTCTCTCGCAACATATAGATTTTTTATGGATTCATTTGGTTCTTTGGAATCTTGCTCGAATTGGAAATTTTTCAGTGTTTTTCCTAGGAGATGGATTAATCCGAGCTCTTGGAATTGAAATAAGTGCGATAGTAAATCACAAAATCTTGGTGATCTTCCTTGTTTGGGGTCCATTTTAATATGGTTTTGGAAGAAAATGTATTTTGAAATAGTGATTTTATGAAGAATGTGAGGTTAAAAAATATGAAAATTTTTGAATTTACGTGTAATTATTTTATTAAAAAGTATGTGAATAAAAATAAGAAAGGATTTTTTTTTCCAGATAATTAAACCCAACTAGGGCTATAAAGTTGCAGTATTCTTTGAGTTTCTTGTAAACAATTATCATGTGTATTTCTTCCCCTTTTTTTTTTTTGGGCATTATATTATTATTTTTACAGCTTTCTCTCTTTACTTCGAGAAATTAATATAAGAAAAAGTATGAAAATTGGTATGGTCAAGCAAGAATCATACGAAAATAATTACTATTCTTAACAAATAATGCACAAGTCTGTATGACGAAAAGTATGAAAAGAACACCAGATATTAAACTTGTCATGTATTAAATGAAAACTTTTTGTGATTTCGTTTAAGCACACCAAATTTGAAATACAGGTTTTCTTTTGAGTTAATTGGATCAAATAACTTGTTTATTTATACTTATCATAAAGAGTAGTAACAAAATATATAACATCATCTGTTGCTCAGATTACTCATCTCAATCAAACGTTGCACTTATGCTATGTTGATAATTTTTTATTCTCTTCAGAATTTATGGGAAAGTCACCATCTTAATAAACTGAAATTTTAACAAGATATAATAAAAAATAAAGGTATAATAACTCTTTACAAGTCATGAAAGTGACATAATTTTTTTTAAAAATACTTAGAAGTGTTGGGTGCTTGATTAGGGTACAATTATCTAAACTCCAACATGTTAAGATTGTTGATTTATTAAATGCTTGTTTGAGATTGTATATAATTTATTTAAATTAGGGGCATGTACGTAAATTTTACTAATCTGAAAATATACCAAAAACTTATCACTTTTTAAAAATCTTACAAAAATGTCATATTTTGAGTGCGAAGTGTCCAATTTTCCCTTTTCATTACAATTTTCAACATATTCAATGCACATTTAATGTCAAGACTTAAGCTGTAAGCCAGTAGGAGAAGCTAACCACGAAATTAAGTTCTTACACAATGGATAATAGGTAGATTAACAAAAAAGAAAAAAAAAATGAAAATAATTATTTTCTAATATTTTCTTGACATGTAGAAGTGAAGTTCTCTCTAAGTGAATTTCTTATACAAGAATTGAAATATCAAAGTAGAAATTATTGTTGGTTTATCTTTCAAATTGGAATCAATAGCTGTTCATATGGTAGTTGAGTATTGATGAATATACTTAATACTTCAAAAAGAATATTTTCACATTACATACCTCTGATTCTATCTTGACAGCTGTGAACTATCAAGATAGACATTTGAATGTCAATATCGACATTTCATAACTATCTAGATAAACATTTTAACTGTTTGTCTAACCAATTTGAAAATGCATGTGATAATGTTTGGTTCAGCGCTCTTACCATTTCAATTTGCTTATATTCAAGTACGAGTGAATATTTAAGTCATATATATATATATATATATAGGGAGAGAGAGAGAGAAGTAAAATCAGACACAGAAAATAATTTGAAGAAGATAATTTTATTGAATGATGAAATTTTTTATGCAAAATATTGAAGAAACAAAATGTTGAAAATTACAATTGAGTTGATAAAAGAAAATTTAGATTACTAGGAAATCTAAAGTTTTTTGAAGAAGTTTTTCTCCCGCAAAAAACTCTTGTCAGAATCTTGAATCTTGATATTCTTGTATACTTGGAGTGTTTGAGCTTTGAACTTGAAAACTTCTTGAATTTGATTGAAAAATCTTTGACGGACAATAATTTCAATAATATCCATTCTTTTGAATAGTTTTTCTGTCTGCCAAGATTTTGAATATTGGGAATCTACTTTAATAAAGTAATTTTATTAAAGTTTTATCTTCTTTTAAAAGTAGGTGGTACTGATAGAAACAACTTTTAAGGTGGCAGGCACAATTGAAATAAAATATTTCTTAACTTATAAGTCTGATATTTTTGAAGTTCATCCAGATAGCTGAGTTCATATAGTCATTTAGCATTCTTTTTGATCTTTTTCTTGAGCAAGTAGATCATCAATATATAACCAATAACAATCATCTCCATTACTTTGGGCATAATTTTCAGAAATTTTTAAGAAGAGCTATCTGGAATTGACTTTAGTTTATGCCAGAGAGGCAATTTTTTTTTTCAAAAATAATTGCTAATTCTTTTGGAGTCTTGAATTGATTAAAAATTACCATTAATTTTTATTTTTCTGTAGGGAAATAGGCATTTTTGTCTAATTCTTTCTTTAAGATTTTAGGGACTTCAATATTTCTTTATTCTCGAATCCATGAATTTACTGCTTTTGAACAACAATTAGTTTCATGGAATTTTGACCACTATTTTACTTTTGACTTTGTGAATAATTTTTGAACTCTATATTCAGAGATTTGATCTTGATAAATGAAATAGTCATAATAGAATATTCATGAGAACTTCATATTAAATGCGAAATGAAACAAAACATTTTCTTGAGACTTTAAAAAGGTTTTTGCCTCTTTTTTGAAGTGTTCAAATACTTGATGAATGAGACTAGGTAAAATTTTCTTATCAAGTCCAAAACAATTGAACCAAGTTTGAAACCATTTTGAAAAACTTATATTACAATTTTGATTAAATAAAATGAACCAAAAATGAGTTATTGATCTAAAGTAAAATATATTATATTGGGTATCCTTGTAATCAAAATAATTGAAATGAGATTTAAATGATTTGTCTTTTGAGAGACACATTCTCTTCTCATTCCATGGTCGTTGCCCCTAGTTTTCATATGACAATACCATTTGAATGCTTATTTTTGAAAAATCAATTGTCTTTGAATTTTGAGGATTTTTTATATGAGTTATGATAGCTGATCTAATTTTGCTTCAAAAAACTCTCTGAATTTTTTGATGTTATAGGGCATATATTGAAATTTTAGAGGAAAAAGGTGTTGAAGACATTTATTTAGAGATGAATATCTATTTATCCATGATGTTTCCATTTCTAAAATTGGAATATTAGCTGATTTGAGAAAGTATTGAAAAGTGTTTGGAGGGTTTATTTGAGATAATTTTCTAGAACCTTGAACAGCTTGTTTAAAGTTTAAGGGTTTTGATTAT